AGCCATTGATATCTTAGTCAAGTCTTACAAGTCATCCAACATGGCCAAACACGTCCTTGCTCGTGTAGCTGATATATCCAAGGGTGTAAGACCTCTCTCTCTCTCAATCTCTCTCTCTCCATATGTGTGTATGTCTAACTCTTTGAAAGATTTGTTATAGGAGGGAGAAGCATTGACAAAGAAAGGAAGCCAAGCAAGCTTCTTTACACAAGCATCAGTCTTGACAAGAAGATCTTTTGTGAACATGTATAGGGATTTGGGATATTATTGGTTGCGCCTAGGAATCTACATTGCGTTGTGCGTGTGTGTAGGCACCATCTTCTTTGACATTGGCCACAACTTTGGCTCCATTCAGGTTAGTGTGACATTGTGCTTCAATTAAAAGTTTTTTTTGCTTTTTAGGGTAGATCAGTGGGGAACAGCTTTACTTGTGGTAAAAATGGAACTCAAAATGTCATGTTGTGGCACCTGATCGCCTTTACCTTGAGTCCATTCAACTTCAATCAAAAGTTGAACAACCTATGCTTTCTACCTTCTAAATATCATGGTTCTCGTGTGTTTTGTATTGACAAACATTTTAGGCGAGAGGCTCCATGCTCATGTTTGTGGCAGCATTTTTGACGTTCATGGCGATTGGAGGCTTCCCTTCCTTTGTGGAGGACATGAAGGTCGTTTTTTCATTACTATCTTTCCATATATTTATTTTCCTTTTTACAGCAACAATAAAAAAAAATTTGATGACTCAATTAGAATACTAAAGAAAAAAGAATCAAGAGTACGGAACCATGAACCTATATAAAAAGGGTGCAATTTGTATAGAGCTGAGGCTCTAAACAATCAAAGTAAAGCGCACCTTCAAATAGTATCGAGAAAGGTAGTTTAAATACTGGAAATCTTTATGATAGCCTTAAAATATATTTTCATCTTTAGTAATAAAATTCAAAGTTTGAAAAACACTGTAGATCAAGCATATCTATGAAAACTTGAGAATTGACGGTCCAAAAATGCATTACAAGATACACTATTTCTAAAACTTGAAATCCAATTTTCTCTCATGTCTATGAATCTTGATATCGAGATGATCAATTTAAGGATATTTGGGCATCAAAACAACCTCAAAAAGTTTTAGGTCGACTCTAATTTGATTGTTTAGAGCCTCGGCTCTATATAAAAATTTTCCATATAAAAAGCTTAAAGATTAGAAGAAAACGAAAAAATTACATCGAGGGGTCAAAACATCTCACCTAATAATCCAAGATGCAAATGACTAGAGACTCTCGCTCTCTCTCTGCCTCTCTCACATGGATTGATCCTCATGGTCACAGATCTTCGGACGTGAGAGACTAAACGGGCACTACAGCGTGGGCGCCTATGAGATTGGAAACACCATCTCTTCCACCCCCTACCTCCTCCTCATCTCTCTAATCCCGGGAGCCATCGCCTACTACTTGGCTCGTCTTCAAGATGGAGCCGAGTACTTCATCTACTTTGCTCTAGTCCTCTTTGTGTGCATGATGCTTGTAGAGAGCCTCATGATGATTGTTGCGAGCCTCATCCCCGACTTCCTCATGGGCATCATCACCGGTGCCGGTATCCAAGGTGTCATGATGCTGAACGGTGGCTTTTTCCGACTGCCTAACGACTTGCCTAAGCCGTTCTGGAAGTACCCAATGTACTACATCGCATTCCATAAGTATGCTAACCAAGGTTTTTACAAGAATGAGTTTGAGGGTCTTACTTTCCCTAATGGCTTAGTAGGAGGGTCACCCACCATAACAGGAGAGAAGATTTTTTCAGAGACATGGCAAGTGGAGATGGGGTACTCCAAGTGGGTGGACTTGGCCATATTGTTGGGCATGGTGGTTTTATATAGGCTCATGTTCTTGGGCATAATTAAGTTTAGTGAGAATGTGATGAAGAAAAAATAGTTGAAAAGTAACTTATTGAAAATAGCATAAAGTAAATAATATTATTAAATATATTTTAAAATAATAGAAAAAGAGACCATGAAGTAAATGGCAGTCGTGAGGCCTTTGTGGCCATACTCCAATATGTAAGGGCTTTTTTGGCTTTTTTAGCTAGGCCTTGCTAGCAAGCAACACAAGAGTAGAAAGAAATGCCCTTTTCTCCTAGAATAGAATTTGTTTCTTACTGTACAAATTAATTTGTCGCAAAATTACTACTGATTTTGTATCTACGCATTGATAATAGCGAAGATACAAGTTTTCTTCCTATCTCTTTGTCCGTTTGACAAATGAAACAAGTTGATTTTGTAGGAACATGGAAGTTGGATCTCCAGGGTAAATATACAGTACACGTATTGGTACACTTATTACTATGAGGTTGGATAACCCTCGAAATTATCAAATATGATGCAGTTCCCTTCATGGTTGGGAGAGATCATCTGTTTACTTGAAATGATGTTAATGTACATGTTAGGCTAGGGTCATTGTATATGTTTTTCCATTGCCATTTATTTATTGTATAGTAATTATGTGTATGTATTCTATTATTAATGAAAATTTTGGGATGAGGATTTCTCCCCCACTGACTTATCAAAAAAAAAAATTTATATATGTATTCCCAAAAGAAAAAAAAAGTGTTACGTATTATTATTGTACTTCCTTGCTCTCTCTCAATGAGCTCATGAAATATAGGATTGATCGCAATTTAGGCATCACTCAAGCAAAATTTATAATTATCAAAATTTAAAAATCGACATGTATATTTTATAGTCTCACTTTTTGAGAGTGTGAATTGTGTTTTAACTTTTATTTTATTTAATATAGCTCAAATTTGGGGAATCAATATTGGAAATTGGTTTGATAAGGCTGCAGCCCTATCAAAATATTGGAAATTGCGATTCAAGTATTGGAAAATATTTACATCGATCATTTCAGCTTGAACGTTATGGTTGGGAAAAAATTAGGATTTTAAGCTCTAAAAATAATGTATATTGTAACAAATTATCTAGGCCATCCATTTTCCCCTAAAAGCAAGTGTTCATAGATTCTCAATATGTGTATCATTTTTTGAGTTTCAAATTTCATTATCGAGGTTGAAAATTGATTTTAGATACAG